ATCATTTATTATAATAACTATTGTATTGAAAATGTAAAATTTAAGAATAATTTTTTTTAACAAGCACCCGTGTAACACGTGTTTGTAGTAGTAATAGTCTTATTATTTGAAATCTGAAACATGACCAACTTATTAATTACATTGTTTGAAATCTGAAACATGATCAAGTCATTGTCATTGGATTATGTAGATTTTAGGTTTAATTTGCGGTAAAGAATGAAATCGAGAAGTAAAGGTGCGAGAATCTCAAATCGCCATTATCAATTTCTCAAGCTCTGTAAAACTCAGGTTCTAAGCTTACACAGTTCAAATTTACGTACAGCATGCTTAAAGCCTAATCCAAGCCATAATAACCTATCACATGCCGACACGTGCCCACATTAACAAGCTAAATGAAACGTAAAAGATCAGAACAAAAAACGCGTCCAAAGAAACACGACTTAAAGGCTAAGTGAATACATGATAACAGAATATAAAAAAAACATGCACGACCAAAGATAAAACTTGAGGACAACTGATCATTTCAACACCCCCCCTCAAGTGGGAATGGGGCCAGTTGCACGCATTCCCAACTTGAAGATAAACTTGGCAAAATCGGCTCGTCCCAGAGATTTGGTAAAGAGGTCCGCCGGCTGAAGAGATGAGGTAATGTGCCTGGGAAGAATAAAACCGCATTTGTATTGATTTCTGACCACGTGACAATCGATGTCGAGGTGCTTGGTCCTTTCATGAAAAACGGGGTTTGCCGTAATGTGTAAAGCAGCACGGTTATCACACCAAAGGGAAATAGGGGTCACAATAGGAAGTGAGAGATCCTTAGCCAGAAAAGAGAGCCACAAAAGTTCACACACCGTGCTAGCAAGTGACCTGTATTCTGCCTCGGCCGATGAACGGGATACAGTTTTCTGTTTCTTAGTTTTCCATGAGATCAAGGCTTGACCCAAGAAAATACAAAAACCTGTAAGAGACTTTCTGGTGAGATTGCAGCTGCCCCAATCTGCATCTGAAAAGGCTTCCAAGGTTTGAGAGGGAGTAGCCTTGTAATGAAGCCCCAAATTAGGTGTCCCATTCAAATATTTGACTAAGTGAAGGGCAACATTCCAGTGTGCTTGAGAAGGGGCCTGTATGAACTGACTGAGTTGCTGAATGGCATATGATAAGTCAGCTCTTGCCAAGTTGAGGTAAAGTAATCTACCAATGAGTCTTCTGTAGTTTTCAGGATGTTCAAAAGGTTGAGATTCCAGTGACGAGAGATTTATGCCTTGAGGTAAAGGTGTCACAACAGGTTTAGAATCCTGCAAACCCATGTCAGCAACAATATCAAGCACATATTTTCTTTGGCTGAGGAAAGTACCATCAGCAGTTCTGTGAATTTCAAGGCCCAAGAAGTATTTTGCTTGTCCTAGGTCTTTGATGGTAAAGAGACCATGAAGATAGCCTTTTAGTTGCTGAATCTGATCTAGGCAATGACCAGTAATAAGCACATCATCCACATAAATGAGCAAAATAAGCAACTGTGCACCTGAACCTTTGAAGAATAAACAATGA